ATATCAGGGTATTCTTTAAAAATGCTAAAATCTCTACATTCATTTTTGAAAAAATTATTTAAAATTTGTTGATTATCAAAATTTAAATCATTATTAGAAATTATATCTGCTGTAGGGTACTGAAAAAAATCTGAAATTAAATTATTTGTTTTTTTTTGGCAGGTTATTTGCTTGCAGTCAGTTGATGACTTTGATAATTCACCAGCTAATCTTTGTATTAATTGTTTTCTTTTATTAAGATTTTCTTCCATTTGCAACCATGTCCAATCAAGTTTAAAAAAAGGGTGGAGCATGGTTGCTATAATATTATCATCTTCAAATAAGGTCACAATAAACCTAGAATTATTAAATATTTTTAATTTATTATATTAATTTACCTATCCTCAATCCCTTTAAGTAAGGCATCTAAGAGTGGTAAACAGAATCTCAGGTTCATTTCTTTAAAATTCTTTAATTTGATAATAAGTTGTGAAATAGTTGCACAGTAATAAGCTGTGTACATATACTTATCTCCCTGCAAAATATCAAGGGAATTAGCTATTGGCTTCATTAGCTAATTTAAAATAATGCTATATATATAAATATTATTTATAACTTACTAAACAATATTCATGAATAAAATCACATTCATTAGGTAAAAACCTAGGTAGTTTTATTCCATCACATATCTTGTCTACTTTGTCAGATTTATCTTTTATAATTTCTGACATTAATTGTAAGGCATTATAGGTGGAGTTCCATCTAGTTATATTAGGACATATAAAATAACGACCAATATATTCCTTAAAAATCTCAGATGAAATAGGAGACTTATTTTGCCTATTCCATATATTTTGGCATTTAAGTAGTGTTGTGCTATATATCTAATGAAGAAAATATTACTTATTTAATTAAAATTAGTTTTACCCTCTGATATTGTTTACACTGCATGGCTCTATTGGCATCCACAGTGGCTATAAGAATCAATGTGTGACTGGCACAACATTGGTGATGAGGTAAACTAAATGATTCTGATAATTCAGAATCCTGTGCAGTATTATAAAGATTTGATATAGAAATTGGCACAACTGCTTCATCTTCCAGATCATCAATTGATTCACTTGTATTATTTTCAATTGGCTTGAAAACTCTTTAATAAATTAAGTAATCAATCATATATTATGTTTATATTTATTTATAATAAAATAAACCTAAAACATTTTTTAAAATTTTTGGCATTATCTGTAATGGTCTTTGAAATTTTATTTTGAATGCAATAATCCTTAGCTATATCTTGTAAATTTTTTGCTATTTTATCATATGTATGACTACCAGTCATTCTTTTACAAGCCAACGCTACATTTTTTCTTTCCAAACTTATTGGATTTATATAATGAGCGGTTACTCCTATATATGAACTAGAAATTAAAATTTATTAAAATTGCTGAATTAATTATTCTTAATTAATTATTATACAAATTGAAATGTTAACTATACCGGCGATAGGCACTCCAACAATCTGCTGTTGTGCATATTAATGATGGTTCTATAAGACTTTTAATTATTTCTTTCTTTTCATTTTCCCATCTTTGGGAAATTCTACCAACAACTGTCTGTCGGCAAATTATATTTTTGTGTGGAGCCAAAGTGTTGATCATTTTTTTAAAAGAAGGATTTTCAACAATTGAAAATGGCTGCATGCCATCTATAATAAAAGCAATTATTAAATCATCTAAAGTGCCTTGAGTTAAAGTCAAAGGTCTTTTAGCAAAAATATTGATGGAGGATGAGCCTTGTCCAGTATTTTCTTTGGTAGTTTTATTTTCCTTCCCCTTTTTTATTTTTGTTAACAAGGTTGGATGTTTTCTCTTAAAATTTAAATTAGAATTTTAAATATATAATATCTATACCCTTATGTGCTTCAAGATATTGCACGTTGAAGTCTTACTGACGGATATTTTTGTATTTTTAGGTAGACACGGCAAACATTTTACCATTAGAGAATTGTTTTCTTTGTTTTGAGATATTATTTTAAAATATTCTCTATAAATTGGCCATGGTAAAGCAATAGAACTTGTTGTTGCTTCCTCTTCTTCATCGATATAGATCTAAATAAATATATAAACTTAAAAATTTAGTTATAAAATAAAATTTACCATTTCCATATTGTAATATTAAAATTTGTATGGTTTATTGATAAACTCGGACATAATATTTAAATTAATGAATATTTATATATATTTTTTATATATAAGTTTTAATATTTTATGTATATATAATTCTTTATTATAATATTAATAAATATTAATATATAATATATATATATATATATTTATTTCATAAGCTCATATGAAATAAAATAAATTTTACAGTCAAATATTTTTATTTATAATAAAAAAAGGGGTATATAAAATGTATCTGAAAAAGTATCTAAAAACAGATACAGATACCTCTAAAATAATATCTAGATACAGATACAGATATCTTTCTAAAAAATCTATCTAGATACAGATACAGATACTACATTTTTATATCTAGATACAGTATCTAGATACTTGTATCTAGATACTTTAACAACTCTGAATTTTAGTATAGTTTTATTATTATTATTATACAGTGTTGTGATGATTTAATGAAACATATTGACGATTAAATTTAAACCTATTCATAAAAAAATGATAGTATTTGCAAAAATAATTAAATTATAGACAAATAATTATTGAAATTTCTTTTATTATTTCTTTTGTTTGTTGTACATTTGTAAAGATTATAATTATATTTGCATGTGTTTAAATTAAATCGTCAATATGTTTCATTAAATCATCACAACAAAAGAAAATTTTTATATATTTTTTTGATTATTTTAAAAAACACGATACTTATTTTTGAAAGTTGAAACGTAAAACGTTCTTTTTTTAAACATAACGAGTAACATGTTTCTTTTGTGAAGTAATGTTTACAGAATTTTGGAAGAAAAAAATAATTTATATTTTATTTTATTTCTATTTTATTTTTAGGTTACTAATCTCTCTCATACAATAATCTCAAATACAACATTAATCAATCAAAATTTGATTATATAATATATTTTAAAATTAATTTTTAAAAACATTTTTTTTTAATATAAATAAATCAATTTTTTATTAAATAAAAAATTGAGATTAAATATCAAATAATTTTAAAAAATTTAATATTTACTTAATATTATTGGGAAAAAAAATTTTAAATTTTATTTTTCAATTGCAAAATTTAACAAATATATTTCCATAAGTGGGCGTTAAATGCATAAATATGAATATATCATCTTAGATACCAGAATGATTATTGGTTAGCTCTTTTTTTATATTTGGGTGTAAATACATGTGAAAAACCTAAAATTTTTTAAAAATATAGGTTTCTTTGACATTTAAATAATGCGTAGGTTTAGAATCGAAAAATAATAGAAAATTTGCAAGGCACATATTGTTGGCGTTATTGATCAAAATTTCTTCATTTTTGGTTTATAGGTGTACATTTAGGTGCTAAGCATTATCCTAAAAAATTTGACAATATTTGATTTGACTGAATGTCAAGCATAAAACCGACCAATTATTAAAAATTCGATAGACCGAATTTGTAGTAATATTAATTAAAAACTGTTCATTTTTGTTTTATTTAGACCCATGGTTCCTGATCTCCTGCTTAAGCCTACCTAAGCATCTTGGGCAGATTAATTATATTTCTAAAACAAACAGCACAACTTCATTGAGAATATCCCGAAAAGCCTTCATTTTTCTTAAACAAACATCAAAATTCTGATTAGCTTAAACAACTTTTAAAAAAATAGAGGATTTCCCATAAAATAAATTTCAATCTAAACATCAAAACAGCTATTCATCAGTGGCATCACTAGCGCTTAAAATCTCGGAGATCTCAAAATTTTTTTTATTTTTAAATATCTAATTTTTTTTTAGCTAACATATTCAAAATGGCCTTTTTTAATGTATTTATAAAATAAAAATTTTTAGGTTTATCAAATTTATCAAGAGGTTTGAACCTATGTGCTCTCCCCTAGTGACGTACTGCCTTTCGTCTTCCTATCTTAAGAGATTCCATGGCATCAGACGATGCAAATAGCCAGGAAAGTTTAATTTTTCAGGGATATTCTCTAAACCTATATCAGAGACCTTCAGAGTATCATTCGGCCCGGCCCGGATTTAAAAATTTTAGGCCCGGCACGGATATTTAAAAAAAAATTTGAACCCGGCCCGGATTTTTTTTTTAAAAAATTTTTAGGCCCGGCTCGGAATTTTTTGAAATTATATTCGACCTGGTATATACAAAAAATTCACCTATTTGATATTTTATCATATTTTTCGGCGAGTATTTTTTTTTTATTCTAAACAGATACTTAGTATATTACAAATTGATACTATAAAAAATTTGTGTAAATAATGTTAATGAGAAAAAATTAAAGAATATCCTAATTTTTAAAGGAAAGTTTAATATGTTAAGAGTTACTTGGTTATAGTGTTTTTAATATTTATTTTAAATTAAAGTTGTTTTTTATAATTTAAATTTTAATATAAATATTAGACGATATTAGTTGAATTGATATGTTTAATTTTATATTATGCAATATTTTTTTTTGTAAAAAAAATCAGATGATATAGATTAATGACGATATTTAGTTGAGAAAATTGTATTTTTTTAAAAAGCCAGACATGGAAATTAATCGGTTTGACTAAACTACAAAGGCCTAGGTAAACTGCAAATTTTTTAAGCAAAAATTTTTGGGAAGTGAGATTTATTTTCTCACGATACAAATAACTTATAAAAATTAAAATTATTCGATATATTCAATAAAAAAAGGAATATACATTAATTGTATTTCCTTTTATCTTAATAAATAGTTTAAATCCTTTTAATATAATTATATTAAAAATATATTTTTTTTTTTTAAATTTAATTAAGAATTTTTTTTTTTTGAGATGAGATGAGATACTTTTATTAATAACAAATTTCACAAATTTTATATTTACGAATTATAATTAAAAAAAATATACATAAAAATAACTAATAATATATTAAAAATGAATTAAAAAATATGTACGCATAAAAGAGAAATGAGATAAAAAAAATAATAAAATTTAAAAAAAGGGTACAAATCACCCTAGAGAAGAGTGAATGCTTAAAAAATTGAAGGTAAAATCCTTCATTGGGTTCCCCTGAGATCTGCCTCATTTTTTTCCTATAGTTTTGATGAAATTGAGAGCATCACCCGAACGTGCCTAGGGTATTGGTAACGATTGGGATGAACACAGTATTAGTGAGGCAAGCATATTTGTTTTTTTTAGGATTTCGGCCTTTTCGATGGCAGAAAATGAGAGGTTGGACTTGGCGGCAAAATCGACACAGGTTTAGTCCCAAGCTAGGGGGAGATTATTAGTCCACAGGGAATGAGAGATATGCCATCAGGGCTATGGCGATTTCGTTTGAGAGGCCCACTGGTTCGAGGGTGGATGGAATATTAACTTTTTACGAGCAGCTTTCAATTTCACATAGTTTAAAAAAAAATATCATAAAATAGAAAAGCAATTTATAATTAATATTAAACGCCAACTTGCGGATAAAATATTATTGCTATTTAAAATGAATTTATAATTATTTTTTAATATTATTAATTTTAATATTTGGTATACTTTCTTTTTATATTCTTTCTTATTTGTAGCTTAAAATCTTTTTTTCTACTTCCATTCTAAATTTTCTTTTATAGAATTCAATTTTATTTTTTTTCTTGAAATACTAAAAATAAAATGCAAAACAAAAATTCCATAAATTAAAACTTTCAAATTTCATTTAATTTTAAACCTTGTTCTTATATTTTTGGTTTCCTAACTTTTTTAAAACCTAAATTTTTAAAATTAAAAATTATTATCTTTATTTATTTTTTTTCATCAAAATAAATAATAATAATCTTTTAACAAAAAACTACAATTCCTCACTCCTCACGGATAGTAAACCAACCTACCCGTCGGATAAGATAAGTCGCCTCTAAATTTTCGACTGATTCCACGCTTTCAGGTTTCATATCTGCCGTCAAGATGTCGGTGTCCGTGTCCCAGTCTTTCGGATTATGGTCATCATTCATCTTCACCGGTTGCCCCCAACTTCCACTTCCCGCCTAGGTCATCTCGCGTCCATATTGGTGTCCACTCTCGTATACTCGACGTTCCCTGCTGTCTGGCCATTGTTCCTTTGTCCAAAGCTGGGCCTCCGATCATGCTCCGTTCGTTCACCGCTGCAGTTGGCCTTTGCGGACATTTATCCATCAAATGTCCCTCTTTTCCACATCGAAAACATATGCGCCGGTATTCTAAAATCATAGGTATAAAACGATACATACTCTATATATTTCGTTTCTCTTATATATTCAATAATTCGAACCTATAAACAATTTCTCTTTAAATATATTAAAAACGAACTCTCCTTATTTATCTAATAAAAAAAAATTATACTTATCTAATAATATATATAAAAAAATAAATCTAAATTGAAAAAGATTTTTACCCTTTATAATTTAAAAATTTACTAGAACACACTTTTTTTTTAATTCAAACGAAACAAAATTTTTTAAAAAGACTTTTTCTCCCATTCCTTTTATACTTTTCTTTACCCAAACTATCGTTTCATCTTTTTTTTTAACTCCAATCTAATTTTAATTTAACATTTCTTCTTTTTCCCAATAATTCTCTTATTCCTAATGATTTATTACTCCTTTTAACTTTTATCCTTTACCAAACCTAAAATTTTCTAAATTATCATCTACATTTTTTTTCTTCTAAAAATCTAATTTTATCTTAAAATAACGACGTTACTCTTAACTTTAGCTTTCCCATTTATTTAACTTAATCCTACATTTTATCTTGTCAATATCTATTTTTCATCATACGTCTTTATTTAAATTCTCCCCTCCACCTATCGCGAACATCTCCCAAACATATTTAACTAAATGTATTATTGTTCCTTCAACTAAAATCCTTTTCCATTTTAATTATTCACAAATACATTTACGAATAATATTTCCTTTCAGATTATAATAAACAAACACTATTTTCCCCGCCAACTTTATTAAATAAACTTATTCCGGCTTTCAATTGCGCTAAACAATTTTATTAAAAAGCAAAAAAAAACATTAATACTAGGAAAATACGAGGCCAACGGATAATCTGTTCTCCCCTATTGCTTCCCTTTAAGATAAGCTATTATATTAATACAGGCAAATGGATAATACTCTCCCCTCCAACAATATAATTTACTACTTTAACACATACACATGTATATATTTTTTTTATTTCATTATTCTTTTTTTTTATGCCTTCACTCCCTGCCTAGCATTCTTAAATTATTGACTCCTTTATCTTGCAATCCCTGCAGACGTTTCGGGCTCGATCCGTCTGCGGAGCTGATCCCTGTTTTCCGTCGGCAACTTCCCATATATTCCAAAATCACCCCGGGCTCCCATTTCCGGTTACTTCCAAATATTCTCGCCCATACTGCTTGCCCTACCGTTAATTTCGCCTCATTCTCGGTCTCGAACCGTTTCTTTCCCTGACTTGTCGGTTTCGGCGAATCCAACTAAATTCTAGTTCTTCGTCCTAAAAACTTTTCCGATGGGTATGGCTCCTCCTCTTTTTTTTTGACTTTTGTTATAATACGCCACTGCTACCCACATCTCTCCGCCCCCATCCTTTGACTTACTCAACCAGTTCTTGACCACAACCATCCTCTCCGCTTGTCCATTTGAACTCGGATGATACGGCGGCGCTAAGATGTGTTTCGCTCCAGTTTCCACACAAAAGGCTTTGAATTGTTTATTAATAAAAGTAGGACCTCCATCCGATACTACCATCATAGCGACCCCACATTTGGCCCATAGATTTTTCAATATTTTTATTACTACTTGAATTGTTAATCCTTTTCCTCATAATCTACCACCTGTATATATATATATATTTTTTATTCTCGAAGTCGAAAAAGTCCAAGTGAATGCGTTCCCAAGGCTGAGTTGTTTTCGGCCACCCACCGTCCCCATTGTTTCATCCACTCCATTCCTTGATGCCCAGCATGAATCATCGCTATTACTGCTTACCTTAACTTGGACGGTATGACACTCCGACTTCCTCGCAATTCATCTATTATTGCCAACTCCTTTTGCATATATATTTAAAAGTCTTGTCTCCATCTTGCCACGGTTTCCGTCCCTTAAGGCACGCTTTGACTCGTCTCAATTCTCGTTCTTTTAAAGTCACCCTTTTAATTTCTTCCCATGTCACTGGCCCGCCAATTAGTCCTTGCTCATTTTCTTCCTCAAATTCCTCTTGTCCTTTCTCCCCGAAATCTTCCCCGGCACCAGATCTGGATAAAACATCCGGTAAATAGTTTTCTCTCCTTCGACGACATGGACGTCAAAACTGCCCTATAATATTAAAGACAATGTTAAAAATAAATGCAAAATATATAAATATTCACGAAAAAAGATAAGTTATAAATTGGGGGGAATATATTTTGTATATAAATGATGTTTTATGATTCTAATAATTATAAATTAATCATTTAATTTCTAAATTTAATTAGTTTCTCAATTTGATTCTATTTGAATTAAATAATTTTTAAAAACCGGGATAAATGTATATACAAACGTCTTTTTGAAACATTTTTACACAGAATTTTATTGTTCCATATATAAAAATAATGGTGAAAAAAAATAAATGTAAATATCTGTATCGAAATGATGACGTCTGAAATAAATATCGGATGGATGAAAGTATTGTGCATTCAGCCCTATTTAAGAGGATCGCGTATATTGAATTTTTTTTAAAATGAAATATTTGATTAAATTTAAAATTTTTTTAATCAATAATGATTGTAGTAGTAGTAATCAAAAATAATCTTAAAAAATATAAAAACAGAACATGTTTTTAGAAAAAAAACAGTTTTTTTTTCCATGTTAGGATACTTCACTCTTTTATTCTTAACTTGTTATTTTGGTTATTATATCCAAATTGCTTATTCTACATTAAAAACGGCTCGTTTTGAGCCGATTTTTCAAAACGGTTAACTTAATATTTTAGGCAGAAATACATTGCTTAAGGCACGAGATTTTGATAATGTGTCTAAACCTTTGTTCTAAGAGCAAAATCTTCAGGCTTGCGTAATATTTTTCTGGATGAAATTTTGAGTTAGCCGTCGTTTAACAAGACTATTCTACATACCAATCAGGTTGATAAAAATATTGATTAGAGCTGTGCCGCAGGTTTTTCACCGATCCAATCCGATATTTCCAGTTATTACTAAATACCGGTCCGATACTTCTTAAATGTTATTTACCATCTACCTTTTAGTTTTAATCAATGTCTCACAAAAATATCAATATTATCAATTTTAAAAAAATATATATATTTTTTTAGCCAAAATATTATCACCTAAGCCTCGAAATTTCGCCAATAGAAGTCCAAACCTTTCTCCCCATCTGTGGGCAAAATCTATAAGCTTGAGTAATTTACTTATGGCCATATTTATGAGTTAACCGCTTTTTAAAAATTGAATAAAGGCGACTCGTCATTTTAATTCCTTTCATGAATTTATTATCATTTGAAAAAAATTATAAATATACAATCATAAAATAACCCAAAAAAATAAAATAATATGAGCCATTTAATATTGACAAGCCCTACTATTGATTATGTTTTTATCTCACTGGATTTCACAACCTTTTCAATGGCTCTGTTTAATTACTTTGAAAACCCAGTGAGACCTATCTGTGACTGGATTTATCATACAATAACTGAGGTTAACTAAACTTAGACGTTTACAAAGGCTTCACCAAATGTCAACATCATATAGTATCAGAATGATTTATTAATTTTAAGAATTCCTTATAACTATTCTCATAGACTTTTTATACACATATATTGATTAATCAAAATGAATAGGACAATAAAATAAAAAAGCCTTCATTTTTGAATGATCAAATTAAACCTGCTATTATTACCTATGTATCATTGAAAATTATATTATATTTTATTGAAAAAATATTTTACTTAAAAGAATGGTGATTATTTAATTTAAGTATATAATTAATCTATTTGTTTCTAACTAGAAGATAATATCAAAAATGGTTACTATAATTTATTTTGCATTATTTTTAATGCAAGTTACTTCTATAAGGTTTCTTAAAGTAAAATATTTATAAAAAATCGTGACCAAATAAAATGTTTTGGTTAATAAGTAGTTAAGTATTGCAAAGTCTTTGGGAGTGGCTTAAAAAATAGATAGTAAAAAAAGAAATTAAGTGTTTTTTCAAAATCTCAATAATTATAAATAATTTATAAACTTAGTATTAACATTTTTTGATTCCTTTTAATAAGTTATATATGATTCTGCATTCATTTTTTATATATAAAACTTCTTTGAGAGGGGGTGTGTAGTTAAAATAATTTTTTAAAAATTTTACTATGTTGCATTATTTGAGAAAAACATTTTCTAACTCATCTTATGAAGCTAAATAAGATTCTGTAATAATATAATTTAAATTAAGCTTCTTTGATAGGGGACACATAGTTTTCAGGGACACGTATTTTAGTCATGCCCAAATTTTTAACAAGTCTATGATTATTACCAAATTCTACCTGATATCTTATTTCATTTTGTCTTCATTGTTGGTGTTTTCTTTTTTTAAGAATTATATTATATGGCTATTTATTAAGCAACAAATAGCATTGACAATAAATCAAAGCTCAAAAAAGCTGTTATAAAATTAATATAATAAATTATTAGTGGCTCTTAAAATTAGCTCTTTATATATTTTATTGTTTTATGCAGAAATTCGTAATACAGTATTTTATTGAAATCAATTCTAAATGATATAAGTTGAGTGAATAATAATACATTGTTTTTATAGAGGATTCAGTATAATTCATGGTTGGGAGTAGCATCTTTTTTAGCTAATAAGATCTTGTAGCTAATTATTTTTTGTTAAATATGTTTGTTCATAAATTTAAATGGTCATTTAAACTTTGTATTTAATTATAATTTTAAAAGGATAATTTATTAACTTGCTGATATTTTTTCAAGATTTTCAATTTCTTTGTGATAATTTTTCATAATTTCTTGATTAACTTTAAGTTTTTCATTTAATTCTTTAATCTCAAAATTTATTTTAGATTGAGCTTTGTTTATTGCTTGTAATACTTGTTCCTTTTTGTTTTCAAAATTGGTGGCATGTTTGGCTATTGCCAAATATTCGCTTTTATTTTTTGTTAATAATTTGTACATAATTGTTGTTGGTTCTTGAAATACCAATTCATCATAGAATTCAGAAACAACATTACTAGGTTTAGAATCTGTATTTGATAATTGTATACCACTAAAATTTGATTCAATTGAAGTATTGTGTGAAGAATGAGGTGGAAACAATTTTAATATATGATATATTGTGATTGGTTTTTCTTGAGGATCTATGAAAAATATTTTTATAGCAATTTCGAACTCTCCCCAACCAGTTTCAGTAATTTCGTAGGGAGGTTCCGTTAAAATACGATTTTGATTTGCCCCATAGCTCTCATGTAATTTAAAATGAATTTTTTTGATAAACAGTGATAATTCTTCTTCTTTATATGGTCTTAGATACACAGACCATTTATGAGTATGGTTATCTTCTTCCCTTTTATAACCAAAATATTCTGCCACGTTACCGTATACTATAGGCTTTATAATGGTTTCCCCTTTCATTCTAGATCCTAAAGATAGAGATTGCGAGTTTTCCATAATTTTTATATGAATGTATGAAAAATTAAAATAAACATATGATTTATAATGGGTAAAATAAATAAGGAATGATTTCCATTATTTTTGAGAAATAATATATCGTGTGGATCAAAAAATTAGGCAAATAAAATTGTTTTATGGTTTACACAATGATCAAATTTCATATTTAAATATGATTTTTTATTCTTCGTACTATTTTTTCATATTAAATAACTATTATTTTATATTTCCTTATATAAGGAACTTTATATTTTTACTATTTTTATGTAACTACTAACTGTAACTAGTTATGTTTCAAAAGTAACTTTAACAACCCTAAATATAATCCTCTGCCATAAGTAAAAACCTTCGCGAGGCTCCCCAGAATTTTTTCTGATTAGGCGGCCAACGACTTTAAAAAAGTTTTTAATCAAATCATATGTAGTTAAGGTGGAGCAATGATGGGTATGAATATGTAATTTGAGGAATCAACACTGTATTTGCTGATCTTAAAATTTTGAGCTCTGTTCAGATCGTCCTTGTTAAAATTGGAGGGAGAGTTAGTGTCCAGACAAGAGAAATCCCATATTAAAAACTTTCCTTGAGACCATGGAATACGTGTGACCCCATCAGGACGCCTACTATCTGAAAATAAGCCAGAAGACTTTTATCACAACATATTTAAAATCAAATTAATTATTTGAATTTATTATTTAGATTTATACATAAATATTTTTAAAAGTAGTTTGTTACTTTTGGCAGTTACATTTCAAAAAAACTAGTTACAGTTACTAGTTACAATTTTTTTAATATAACTAGTTGCAGTTATTCTTAGTAAAAATGTAAAAGTAACTCGTTAATTTAACAACACTAATAATATTGAATAAATTTTTGTGGGAATAGGGAGAAAGGGTATAGAAGATGTTGATTAGCTTATCTATGGGAATAGGCGAATTTCTTAATATATACTTAACACCCCCACCCCCTGTTATGAAATCTTAAGGAATTATTATTTTTATTTCTTCTATCGATTTTTGGGATTGTTATTATTTTTTATGTTCTTTTATCGATTTTTTTGAATTGTGACTATTTTTTTTGACCAATTCTTGGAATTTGTATTTTTTGAAATAGATTTTTTTTTGTTTTTTTTTCGGATTTGATAGAGGAAAAAGAAAAAGCAAAAGATATATTTTATTGTCAAGATGGAAAGGATCGATGCGAAGATAAAATAGAGAGTAATAAAATAAATTATATACAAGACAATCTAAAGCGCAACAGTAATAATAATAGCCAGGAACGATATAGGGACAATTATCCTTACCAGACAAGACTAGATAATAGATTTATTAGATATAATTTTTATAACAACTCGAATGGAAGGCATAATAATGATAACCCGATGTACAATTATAATAATAATGATAACAAATATAATAATAATGTTAACAATATAGTAATAATGATATCAAATACTATCGATATAATTGGTACGATAACAATGAATACTAGTAGATAGCCCGTCAAAAATGACTGGGAATGAGAATTTTCTTCTTATATTTATGCTAGATGTTACCTGTTATTTGAAAATTATATCCAATTTTATTCATTTTACCCCCTCCCCATTTCAGGCCAGGTTCAATCCATTAAAACTAAGACAAACTCATATGGTTTGAGTAAGAATAAATTTAAAACTTTTACTTGTTAATACCAATATGTCAAATTTATTGATCATTTATACATAATATTTTATATTAAAAAAAATTTCCAGGTAAGGAACAAAGTCATAATAATTTTGAAAAATTCATCCAAGTTGAATGAAAGATCATAATAATTTTGGTAGTTGAGAACTAAAATAAAACATTTAAATAATCATAATGAATTTAAAAATACAATAAAAATCAGATTTTCATGGGCCTTGGTTTTTTGATCAGGTCGAGCCCAAGCCTCCAAAATAACTTGTTTTAGGCCAATGTCTGACCCATAGTTAATAATAAAAAAATTATCAAACGTCCAAGCTCATAATTTTCCCCAAGCTCAGCCCAATATAATTTATAAAAATATTTTCCAAGCAGAGTCCACTTATAATAATTTTATAAAAAATTTTCTCAAGCCTGACCAACCCATAGTAATTTTCAAAATTTTTTCCCAAACCTGGAGATAGGTAAATCTCTGGATCCGACAAAATGGTAAGCTTTTAAAAAAGTAGGATCCTTAAAAATTGTTATATTAATTTAGTTAAATCTTAAACATATAATTTGTATATTTTTCAGTTAGTTAGATAAAATATTCATAAGAGATAAAAGGACATATTGTGCAGCTGACAAAATGGATAGCCTTAAAAATAGGTAGGATTATTAAAATAATATAAATTTAATTAAAAAGTTAAAAAAAATGACTTGCCTAAATTATTAAGTCTTATCAGGAGATAAAAAGTGATACTTTTGAATTATTCACTATTCATTTACATTTTCCAGAATTATTTTATGTTTGTTTATATATATATTCTTAAATATTATTTTATATTTATTTGTGCGCAAAAGTCATGCGAATGAAATAAAATAAGATAAGGGTGATTTATTTTGTGAACATTTATAGAAATGGCCTCAAAAATAAATGATTTAAATTGGAGGAAAAGGAAGAATAAAACTATTTACATTCCTACGTTACGTTTAAATTTATCTGTTTTCAGATATAATATTTTAATCTAGATAAGTATTTCCTTATTAAATTTAGAATTTACTATTTTAAGATAAGAGTGCACTCGTTATTCATTTCCTCCAGAGATTATATTGGAAGATAAGGTTGAGCAAAAGCAACATTTATTATTTAAATTCCTCAGGTAGTATAAAAGTCTATGTAGCCGTTTTATTAAAATGAATCCATTGTGTTAATTAAACCATACAGCATCCTAGATTGTATCATTATTTGTCATCAATTTATTAATTTTAAGTTACACAACAGTTTGGCTTAATTTTAATAATTCATAATCTAATTTATGAGATAGATGAGACATTCAGTCTAGTTTAACACAATTTAATATACTTATTCAAATATTTAAAATTTTCAAACCAGGAAAATGTGATGAGAAATTCAGTTTAATTTAACACAATTTAATAGACTTATTCAAATATTTAACATTTTCAAAACAGGGGAATGTGATTGAATAAGGCAATTTATATCAAGTAGTTGCTTGAAATTTTGTGATATTTAGTGATACTTAGTGAAAGTAAGTGTTAAAGAGTAACCCAGTTTACATTGGTCATAATGTTTTTGAACCACATAAGATCAACCTGCATTCAAATTTCCTATTTTTTAATTAACACTTTCTTGATTAAATTTACACAACGCTTTAACCTAATTAAAGATTCTTATTCTAAATTTTTAAAGTAGATTAGTATAATTAACTTAATTTAATATTCTTATTTAAATATTTACACTTCAGAAAATAAACAGATATAAGTGAATAAAGCAATTATAAGGATTAGTTGCCTGAAGATTTACAATATACTTGTATGATCCATGGCCTTCAGCCTGTTTCACATGAAAATCCTAGAGTGCCCTTATTTAGAGAATTATTTAAATTACTCGCACTCCGATTTCAGGAATTCAAGGAAAATGATTAACTTGTTGAACCATCGTCCAATCAGTATTATTTATAAATATCTATTCATTTTTGCAAAATCAAATGTGATAAATCGCTTAAAGTAATAATCGCTAAAATAATAAAAAATATAATCTAATTAAAAATAAATTAAGACTGTTGGTAGGATCATCTGTTTGTATAAAATAAATAAATAAAATCAACAAATAAAAAATATAAAAAATAATACGTACCGATGACATGACGTAGCGATGACATGAGGTCACGTTGACGTAGTGAGGACATCGGAAAATTATAATATAGATTTTTATAAAAACAAATATTAATATTCTGATAAGATAAGGGGAAAGTACAGCATTAACAATAATAACTATAAATAGTTCGATAATCAATATTTCCAGACAAAAAAAACTTGCTTCAAATGCGGTAGTGACAAACATCAGATTAAATCTGCGATCAAAAAGGCAACGAGGAAGATATAACGTATATATACTCGATGGATATCAAATCTTGTAAAGAAAAATTCAAAGTCAATCTAAGTATAGTGGGTAAGGAAATAAAGACGATCCTAGATACAGGAGCATCAGTATCTATTTCGTTAAAGACTTGGAATATAATCAACTCCGATAAAATGATTCATGATTCGGGCACAAAATTAAGGAAGTACGAAGGTAACGAAATAGCCATTATAGGTAGATTGGAAGTGAAAGTTCAAATAAAAGATATCATAAAAAATCTACCTTTGGTTATAGTAAAATCTGATGGACCATAAATTGGTAGGCATTAACTGGCTGAAGGGATATAGAGAATTGATATGGAAAGAATCAATATTAGGAGGGACCGAAGATCCATGCGATAATAATAATAATATATATTACATGGGACAAGAATTGAAAGCGGTAACGGAAAAATACATAACAATATTCGATAAAAAGTTAGGAAAATTGAACAATATGGAAGTCCATCTGAATATAAAAGACAATGAGACACCAAAATTTTGCGCCCCTAGAAAAATTGCATATGCTTTAGAAGAAAAGGTTGATGAGGAACTAACAAAATGGATCGAAAACGACGTAATAGAACCTATAAAGTATTCGGAATGGGCCAGTTCTTTTGTGCCCATAATTAAGCCTAACGGGAGTATAAGACTTTGCATAGACTACAAAATAACTATAAATCCATGGATGATAGCGGATATACCCATCTCTAGCTTACAGGAAATATTTAATAAATTAAGAAAAAGGGAAAAGTTTTCAACCATTGACTTTTAAAATGCATACCATGAAATAGTAATAGGTTCTGATTCGAGGAATTATTTAGCTATTAGCACTCATAAAGGTCTGTTTCAATTCAAAAGAATGCCATTCGGAATAAATCCGGCGTAAGCAATATTCCAAAGGACTATGGACCTAATTTTCGGGAAAATGACGGGAGTAGCATACTATATTGACGATCTAATGATCACAGGTTCTTCGGATGAAGAGCATCTAAATAATCTAGAAAAAGTATTCCAAGGAATGGCGGAATTCGGACTTAAAGCAAATTATGAAAAGAGTAAATTTCTTAAAGAAAAAGTAAAATATCTAGGTCACATCATATCCAGTAGAGGTCTTATGCCCTCAGAGGAGAAGCTAGAAGCCATAAACTATGCTCCAACTTTGGAGTCGGTTAATGAATTTCAGTTGTTATTAGGCCTCATGAATTATTACCATCGACTCATAAAAAAATTTTCAACCACCCCTCTATGATTTATTAATGAAATGTAACACTTTCCTATGAACGGAAGAATGCAGATCAAGTATTGAAATATTAAAGAAATGCTTAACCAATCCTCCAATAATCGTTCATTTTGATCCAGATAAAGGGATCCAATTCACTACGGATGCATCTATGAAAGGTGTAGGAGCCGTACTATCTCATACCGAAAAAGATGGATCCGAGAATCCCATAGGTTATGCTTCACGGACACTATCATTGGCAGATAAAAGCTACTCAATTATCGAAAGGGAAGCATTAGGGCTCGTATTCGGAGTAAAGAAATTTTATGAATATTTAGTAGGTCAAACTTTTACAATATGTACCGACCATAAACCACTTGGATATATATTCGGTAACAAAAGTTCGGCAAATATAACGTCACCACGATTGCTCAAATGGTCTCTAATGCTAGGAGGGTACAATTGCGAGATAAAATACAAGGCTGGTAAGAAAAACAAAGTGGCAGACGGAATCTCAAGATGCCCAATGGAATATAATACCAAAGATCATAATGAAAAAGTATATTTTATAAACGAGTACCCGATATCAGCAGATGAAATTCGGATAAAACTAGAAAACGACGATACTTTAAAAAAGGTAAATGAAAGTATAAAATCTCAATTCAAGCTAAAAGATGACATTATACTAAAACAATATGAAATGTGCAAAAACAATTTATGGGAAAAAGATGGATGTTTATATTAAGGGGAAAGAATAATAATTCCAACCGGAAAAAAATATTAAACGAATTACATAGTGGTCATCAAGAAATCGTCAGAATGAAAAGCATAGCCAGGCAATATGTATGGTGGCCCGGAATCGACCGTGAAATAGAAGAACAATGCCGTCAATGCGAATCGTGTAATACATGGGCAAACAATCCTCCAAAAGTACAAGATCACCATTGAAAGCGACAAGACTGTTGCAAAGAGTTCATATAGATTTCGCAGGATCGTTCAATAACACCATGTGGCTAATATTGGTAGACGCTTTTACAAAATGGGTTGAGGTAAAAGGAATGATGACTACCACATCAGAGAGAACCATGGTGGTATTAGGTGAAATATTTTCTAGATGAGGATATCCGGAATCGATAGTATAGGATAACGGACCTCAATTTACTAGTTATTCATTCAAAGAATATTGCAAGAGACATAGAATAAACCATATACTGACCCCTCCTTACCACCCGAGCTCCAACGGAGAGGCGGAACGGATGAACAGTCAAAACTGCCATGGAGAAAAATGCAACCAATAACAAGTACGATAATTTAAACGAATTCTTATTAGCTTATAGAAACATTCAGCATACGACTACAGGACAAACCCCAGCACAGATGATGTTTAGACGGAATCCTCGGAATCATCTTGAAATGATTAAAGAAACCCATGAGAGCAAACAAGACGATACGCACGCAGATCAAAGAGGTACATTTTTCAAGATAGGACAATCAGTATGGACGAAAACTTATAGAGACAAAGTAAAGTGGATCAAGGGGACTATAGTGGGCCGATCGGGGAAGTTCATATATACTGTGGATACCGCTAAGGGCCAGTGGAAGAGACATAAGTATCAAATTAGAAAATCTTTTTTAAAAAGGGAGATGTTATGAAATCTTAAGGAGATATTATTATTTTTATTTCTTTTATCGATTTTTTTGAATTGTTATTATTTTTTATTTTCTTTTATCGATTTTTTTGAATTGTGACTAATTTTTATTGACCAATTCTTGGAATTTGTATTTTTGGAAATAGATTTTTTTTTTGTTTTTTTTCTTAGAAAATGAAAATAAAAAATTATATTTTTTTGGAAAAAGATAAAATAATAAAATTGAAAAAATAAAATCCATTTCAGAATTAAGGAAATATATTATTTAAGATTACGTAAAATCTCGACTTAGAAATTCGGCGACTTAGCAATTCAACAAATAAGGAATCTAACACCCCCCTTGCTGCAGATATGTTATAATGGTGGCAAGGAATTTTTTTTTACCCTTCCAAATAATTATGTTTATGTTGGATGAATAATAAATAATGTTTAAAAATTTATATAAAATGAATTAAATTTAAATAACCAAAAGGTTTTATAAATATTGTTTCATATAAGATAGCATGGTCTGGTCTTTATAATGTGTCTTGGTATCCCACAATATATTGTGAAACTATTGTTTTACTACTGCAAATGCAACCTTATAACATACTAAATTAAAAACAAGCTGATTCTAATTTAGAGATTAAAAAATATTTTTTTTGCAATAAAAAAATAGGCATTTAAATATAGACAAATCAAAAAGTAAAATAAAAATTTAATTAAAATTATCTATATAGTATCAGTATAGGAAATATAAAACATATATATAGCAGTCTAGGAAGTGTTTTATTGTGATAAAAACGAATATAACATTTTGCATCGACTTCAAAAATTATTTAAAGGAAATAAATATCTTGCAATAGCCTATAAAGGCTTCTCTTAAAATGACCAAATATTTAATGTTTATTAACATGACACCTATCACGACATTCTAATTTGTATACTAATCACTTGGGTTGGGAACACGTGTGGACAAATTATATAGAATATATTTTTTTATTATGTACGCTCTAGCTTTTCTTACAATCATAATAAGCTTGTCGCTTTCTTTATCCAAAGGTTGCTTAAAAATAGAATAATTTTATACAAATCATACATTTAGATTTTGATTTTAATATAGTTACATATAATTCAGTTGTCAAACTATATAACGAGTATAATAAAGTAAGATTGCATTCACATGATATTAAATATGGATCTGGAAGCGGGCAACAAGTTATATTAAAATCTATTATATTATATTTTTAATATCTACAACAATTTGCAGCATATATTAATATAAATTTTTAGATTAAATTATTAAACCTACAATTTTTATATTTATATTAAATACCAGCCTGGCCTAAATTAGATTGTAAAAATTTTCAGCTAGACCCTCAGTTTTTGCTTGATTTGACTTATATAATAATTTTAAGTTGTTAGCTTGGCTCAATAAATTTTTTCAAGCAAAAAAATGTAAATTTGCCTAAATTGTCTACAGCCTGAGAATTTTATCACCAGACTTGGCCTATGGGCCAAGCTGCCTGGATTGTCCTAATAATGAAATGTGCTATCTGCAATCATATTAATCTTATAAATTAGTTAATATATTTTTAAGGAATGGTTAAAATATAGATAGGTCATGGTGTACTAGAAAATTTTGAATTATAAATAGATATATTAATGTCTTTAAATATAACAATTTATACATTAATTTAAAATAAATTAGAGTTGCACTGATACTTGTTTTTGATTTTAGAAAATTTTTAAATATGGTTAACTCAATATTTTAGCTAGAAAAATATTCTATAAACAATAAGAAATCTCTATTGGAAGTCCAAACCTATGTGCTATCTACTAACAAAATCTTCATGCTTGCATAATATTTATCTAATTGAATTAGCCATTTTTACTGAAATTTAGCCATTTAACAACATTAACCTTGGCAGTGGCATAGCTAAGGGGGTGGTTTTCGGGTTTGGACCTTTGGACAAATTATATTGGCAAATCTATACCTTGGTTTAAAAATATGTTATGTTATGTGGAGAAATGAATCTGTTGTTACTTTAGTCATATATTTTTTTTGATTTCCCTATTTTATATTAATAGAGTTTTCCATTTCACTCCTGTTATAAATGTAGAGGATGTTATACTTTGCCATGAATTCACTCTAAGTGTTAGTTATTCCCCAAAAGTCATTCAAACTCTTTTAAAATATGGACAATGTTGTATACGTTTGAATTTATCTCGTTGAAAATTTAAATATTCTTTTATTGTTGCAAGAAGAAAAAAATATTTAGCAAATTTCTTTCAAAATGAGAAACTTTAGAAACAAATTGAATTTGATTCGGCTTTTATATTTATTATTTTTGGGAAGACATTTTTCTAAAATAAAAAAAAATAATACAATAAAAATTTTATATCGTCTGCTGGGATAAATTATAGCGCTCTATTTCCGCTTTTTATTTTTTTATATTTAAGTGAATTCTTTGGCAATGTACTTTTTTTATATCCACGATAAAAATGTTAAAATTTTTATTGGGAATAACCCTCTATTCGCATGATTACATTGTGGTCTACCTATTTAAAATGTTAAATCGATTTTTATTAATGCAGATCACAATATAGCACGTTAGACCTTAATATCGATTATTTCATAGTTTTAATACTTAACAACCCTCTTAATATATAAATCGCAGAGTGTGACTGGCGTGGAATCGAAGGAAGATCAAAACAGTTATTGGTTGATCCTAAATGAATGGAAAAACGAAACTATACGAGGGTTAGTCATTTTAATAGATTTTTAAGTTTATAAATTATTACTTCTCAAAGGCATAGTAACGATATTCTTGGTGGGAGAGAGGGTGTTGTTAAACGGATCGGGAACAGATTTTTAAAAAGGGCTAACTCGATATATTTCATATATGGCACTAAGGTTTGCAACATCTGTTAGCCAAATCTCGAGGCGCAATACATTTTTTTTGGCTAAAATATTGAGTGTTTGCCGTTTTTTAAAAATCGGCTCAAATGGAGCCATTTAACGACACTAGGGATAGGGAAACTTTTAAGGATAAATTGTCATTTTTTTTTATGTAGACGTTGTATGAGGAGGGGGGGGGGGTGGGTGGTTATTGTAGAGTGTAATTTTTATTATCTTTAACCCTGTATGGCACTAGTGTTGTTAAACGGCCCGTTTTGAGCCAATTTTTTTAAAACCGGCTAACTCAATATTTCATCCAGAAAAATATTACGCGAGCCCGAAGATTTTGTTTGCAGAAGGAATATTGGTGTGGGCATAATGTTATCGAAATCTCGAGTCTCAGGCAATATTTTATCTGGCTAAAATATTGAGTTAGTTGTTTTTTTAAAATGGCGCATAAAATAATGAGTAATACAACAAAATTTATATAAATTACAAATGACTCGAAGGATGACAGCAAAATTTTTATTTGATTTATAAGATAGGTATTCCAAAAATGGCGGCATACATTTCCGGTAAGAGGACATTTTTAAATTGGAAAAAAACCCATGACGCTAACGTATCTAACGAACATTTTAAAAATGGATTAATTTTATACCTATTTTAATTTTTTTTTATACAATTAATTTCAAATATTTGGTTTTCGAGATTGTCAAAAAAAAATAATAGTAAGAAACTGAACGGAAATATAAATAAATTTTTTAAATTGGGCTAATTATTAACCGGTTGAGAAATAGCAGTAGCTAATTTGAAGTTTTATTTTGTAATCAGAAAATTCTACGATAAAATTATTTTAGCCAAGAATATCAGCTGACCTTCTTTCGACACCGATATTGATATTTAAATTTTTTTTAAAAAAAAGTCCTTTTACTTGCATGATAATATTAAACTGAAATTTTGAAAAACAATATTTTACAATCTTAGACCATAATTCTTTAATCAAAATTTGAATTATTTTTTATTTTGGTTTAAATCGCTATTTAAATAAAAAAAATCGCTATTTTTGCCAACCCTAGTTTAAACCGAACAGAGACGATTATTTTTTTAACGAACCGAACCCTTATTTTTACCTGAACCGTAAAAACCGAAACGGATATTCTATATATATGGCTACGGTCTTCGAATCAAAGTTCAACATATAAAATTCACGTTTATGATTGACATCTCGCTATTATCGTTATAACGAAAACATAAACAGAGATCCCGTAAAGTGCAACTCTATAGTTATGGTGAAGCATCTAACCACCAACAATTTCTTATGGAGCAACGAGATATACGAATCCCCCCTCTCATCCAATCAAGAAGTCAGTGCCCATAAATCCGACAACGGACACTTAGGTTTATTATGAAACGTAGTGTTGTTAAACAGCTGGCTCACTCAGTATTTTATCCAGAAAAATATTGCGCAAGCCTGAAGATTTTGCTCATAGATGCTAGAAAAGTTTAGACAGCTATTAGCGAAATCTGGAGGCTTAGCAATTTTTTTTTCTGGCTTAAATATAGACTTACGTTTAACAACTCTAATAAAACGCTTATGTTTTTACAATTCAATACATGTCTAAATACCAGAGTTGTTAAAGGATCTAGATATAAAAATGTGGTATCTGTATCTGTATCTAGATAGATTTTTGATTTAATAATCTGTATCTAGATATTATTTTAGACGTTGTATCTGTATCTAGATCCATTTAAAAAGTATCTTTTAACAACTCTGCTAAATACATACAACACATTTAGTTAGATTTTATCAAATATAAATTAAAAATCGGGTTTGATATGATTAAATTCGAATTGATTTAAATCGATTATGTTTGATATAAAGCTATTTTAGAAACCCCTCATCCGCCACTTTTGTCCGTCGGGCGGGCTAAATCCCCCCCTCCCCCCCCAGCCCATTGCCAATCTAATATGTATACCACGGTCTTAGAGCAAAATGATTTTTTAAACTATATTATAAACTGATTTTTTTTGAAACCTATTGCCTAGTTAAGCTAACGATGCCAGGTATAGCTTTGCTTGATTATTCCCTATTTAGTTGCCTTTTTTAAAAAATAAAATAGATATATTCGATATAGTTGGCTTTTTTAATCAAACATATCAAGCTTGATTATTTTAACTTTTCCGATATAGTTGAATTTTCTTCTATACAAGATATAATTTACATATCAATAAAATGGGGAAGTAATAGTTTATCTCATTGCTTATGAGACCAGATAAATTACATATTTTAGAGATCTTAAAATCATAATTTTTTATATCTAAGCTTCTTCCATATGTATGATAACATCATGACACCTGTCCCAAAGTAGGGATCAAGTTCACTATTCGATGACCCTAAATTTATCCTAATCTTAGCATATGATGTTCTGAATTGACGATACTTTTATAAAAAAAATATAAGGATCTAAATCCCTTTACAGTTATTCGATTTCGATCCTTTTAATAATTAATTTTTTTTATTTTTCTATAATATAAAAATATCGCATATCATTTTGAACCTTCCACTATTATAAACTCCCATAAAGTTATTTAATAATAGAGAATTTGTAAACGATATTAAAATTGATAATTTATAAAACCTAAGCTTAATTTTTAAAATATATATTATGACTTATCTTAAACCGGACCGTTTCCCGACTATGGATGAGACAGACATGCGTCAATTTTCAATATTTTTGATGGTCTATTTTATTTTTGTTACGCGCAACCTATTACGCGTGCTGTTTGTTATGTATGTCATGACGAATTTTTCATCACTGTGATCGTATTTTTTCTGTGATTCACAGACCCTCCTGATCCAGGATTTTTTTAAGGGTAGTTATAAAATGCGAAGAGATTTTTTTTTTCCAAAAAATGGAGTGTATAAAAATGCCACGAGGAAAGTTAAATCATTCAACAAATAATCTATAATCTTGTTTTCGAAGGTGTAGGAATCAGCCCGATTAAGATTTTAGTAAAAAATAATATTATTTAAGCCCCCAGATGTCGCTAATAAATGGCAGAAAAGTTTAGAACTCTATTTGCCAAATCTCGAGGTTTACTTAATATTATCTTCTCCCTAAAATCTTAATCGGTCTTTTTTTATAAATCGACCCAAATCGGGTCGAGTTACCGCTCGAATTCGGAACTCGAAAGAGGGGCACCTTTTCCGGTATCGAATTTGCTTCCGGTTCTAGATTTTATCCCTATTCGAAATTTCGGATACCACCTTCTCTCAATCCCTCTCACGCGATCCATCATTGGTGTCTATCTAATAAGAAACCCCTCAACTCTTTTTTTTTATTCGTAATTCTTTTTAATCGTGGGTGATTAATCGTTATATTTGTTTTTTTTTAGTAATATGAGTAAGTATTCACCTTTCCTTAGAGGCTGACATTTATCGGTATCAATATTATTTCTGGAAAAAAAATTATAAGCAATATTCCCATTTTTTTTCCCGTTTTGGAACGCTGGGACACCATTTTTTTTAGTAATAATTTTAGCTTACCACTTTTTTCCCCCCGATGCTTACTTATTAAGAGTTTTTTTAAAAATGTTTTTGTTTCAGGTCAAAACTGGCAAGTTATCTGCAAGGACGTATTTTGGACGAGGACTGGAAACGTTATGCTAAAGCACGTCCAAACTAATAGGTAACATTTTCCCTCTCCACTCGACATTTTTCTCATTCTTTTTAAATAAAAGCATTTTTTCGAACGAATCCAATTATACGGTATTCGTTATTCGACGAATATCGAATAATTCTTATCAATAAAAATAAATAAATGAATGAAATTAAAATCTAGATGATTGCCGTCAGAGTTGTTAAAATCAGGGTTCAACAAAAATCCTCAAATGAGCATTCAAAGATTTTTTCGCCCACAATTTTGAGCAAAAAGTCTTTGAAGATCAAAAAAAAATTTCCCAGATGTTTTTTTTAAAAATAAAATAGCAAAATTTTTTATATTTTCGTATAAAGAAAATCTTCACATTTTTCGATCTTCATAAAGAGCAAGTATCTTTGAAGATTTTTTAATTTTTGAGTAAATATTAAACCCTGGTTAAAATACAAAAATTTGGTATCTGTATCTCGATACATTTTTGTAAAAGTATCTGTATCAAGATATGTTTTTAAATGTTGTATCTGTATCCATTTCTCGACCATGTATCGGTATCCAGATCCATTTAAAAAGTATCTTTTAACAATTCTGATTGCCGGGGAATATATGTATTTTTTAATAAATTTATTTTAAAAAAGCTATTTTTTTGCAGCATTAACTGCCAACTATAGTTGGGTAATGAATGGCTAAATTCCAGCTAATTCGGTTCAATCTATAGGAGCCTGGCTGAGAAAATCCGTTGCCATTAAATAAATAGTTTTTATAAATGCTTTATTGCTTTGCGTTATTTAACACAGTGTTATTACAAGATAAAGCCAATAAATTAAGGTATAAATTTATAAAAATCATATGTCGCATTCCGTTGATAAAAAAAATAATATGCGATACGAGTATAAAAAATAATAGCGAATTCGATAAAAAGGCATATGATTTTTATTAAATATATCAAATAATTATCTCAATTTTAGCTTTATCTTGAAAATTAGTTTTTTTTTAAAATAACGCAACGCTTGAAGATAACGCGTTTACTATAAATGCAACCCTCAATTATTTTGTTTTAACATTTTATATAATATTGAAAAATGAAGAATAAAAAAAAGTATTGGAAAAAATAACTGTTTGTAAATAAGCGCAAACGCAAAGCGTTGATTCGGCCATTTTGCGTGATACCATTTGAAATGCATTTATTTGCCTTTGCAAACGTTCAATTTGTTTGCTCACTATTAGATTATTACAGATGAGACTCTGTTAAACATTCTTATTTATTTTTTAGATAAGTGAAAACTTGGTTGTTTTTTTTTTGGTCTAACTATAACTTTTTAGAACAAAATAATTTCATTTTGTAATCCAAATAAAAGGAAAATATAAGTTAGGAAAAAAGGCGAGGTTTTGAATTTTATAAAAATATTATTATTTTTTGCTTTCTAAATTGCAAAAAAAACTCATTTCGAAAGCTATCTCGCCGTTTCCGGTAAGACGTACAGTCGCCCTATAGCGAATCAGAAGGAGATTTGCGGGGTCAGTTATGCCAACGGGAAAGCGTGTAATTGGAAAGTCATGGAAGGAGCCTACTTCAAACCTACCGAAGAAAATACCGTTAACAAATTTCCGCAAGACGAAGAGGACGAGGTCATAAAGGACAACTCTGTTCGCGGTGACGAATTATAAAGATTTTTGCGGGGAATTTTTTTTTTTTTGGTTTTTCTAGCCTCACTTATTTTAGTATTGGAATATTTGCCCATTGGATATATAACAGTGGAAAAGGTTTTTTTTTTTCCTATTTCATGTTTTGTTTCACTTTTTTTTTCCTATTTTCCTTTATATTTGTAGTTGTAAATACATATTTTTTCTATCTTTCTATTATATTGCGACTAATGTAAAGTTATTATTTATAATTTATCTTATTTATGTTATATATATGATGTATATAAATCGGGTGAAATTTATTCTTGTAACTAAAAGCATCATTTCACCGAATATTCGTCCTTTTTGTATTGTAACAAAGTTTTTGTACTTATAGCATTATTACCTTTATAAATATCTGGGGAAATTGATTAACTCTTAACAAAATAGGAAGAGACAGTTGGAGATGAAATAAATTCTGATTTTTGATTTCAAGCTTAATTACTCAAATTACAAATGATTACAAAATTTTCATAATTAACTATAATTACTAATTCCTTTTTTTAAAAACACGGTAAAAATCGTAATAAATTACTAATTACACATATTCCTGATTTTCTGGAGCAATTATAATTAAGATCTCGGGCTATTTTTTAAAAAAATCGAATTCGGGCGGTCGGGCCTAATATTTTTTTAAATATTCAGGCCTTAGATTTTTTTGAATATATTTAAAATTATAAATTTTATGTTTGAATATGTTAAATAAAAATGATTTTATTTATAGCATATATTTTTTATTTTAAGTAATTATAAAAATTAGTTTCTATATTTAAATAAATTTGGGCCGGGCTTGACCGGTTTATTTTTTTAAAAAAATTTTGTGTTCAGGCCGGGCCACATAACTTGATTTTCGGATTCGGGGTTGGGCTTCAAACAGATAACGAATTATAATTACAATTCCTTTTATAATAAAAATTAAAGTAAGATTTGATTAAAAAAATCATAAAAAATTATGAGAAACCTTATTAGATGGCATATATAATATAATTTATAATAATATTTTGTCTTTATTACCAATTTGAAAAAAAAATCAAACGGTATAGAAACTTAGAGATGTATAAATATATTTTATTAGATTCTAATTATTCGTTTTTTAAAAATATTGTAAAATATTTCACCCAAAGTTTTATTGAAAATTTTTTTTTTTTATTGTACCAACTAATTTTAAACTGAAATAGAATTATTATAATAATCTAACGAATAGAGATGAGATATGATGCGGTTCGAAATTATGCATATTAAATTTAATTATAATGCCAAGTCAATTTTTGAGGTAAAGAGCTTTTCCTATCGTTTCTTCTTTATAAGACATTGAATTTTTCTGATATATATACCTTGATATTACCTACCTAATAACATTAAAATTCTCAATATTTTAGTATAAATGAGTATTTATTATCTCTTGTCGATCTAGATATATATTTTTAAACTAATATAAGAATAAATTTTTTATGAAAGTTTTTATAACTATAACAAAATAGATATTTGAATCATTTTTTTTTACAGATCCCCGATACAACAGCTTAATAAAGTATTACTTATCTAATACTTTATTGGTAATAGGTAAAAGTTTATCCAGATATGTAATTGTTCTTAGTGTTTCATCCGTAAAAAAAAACTTTTCATTCATCAATCGTCTTAAAAGGAAAGGATTATTAAACAGATTATATATATATTCTTAATCTGAATTTTCTTTGCTTTTAAGATCAGGATGAGGTGTGAAACGAAAGTTATTTTACTTATATTTAACACAAATCTCATGTTAAAAAATGAATTTATTTTGTGGTTTTGATATTTACTGAAGAGAGGAGCTACCAGTTTTTTTTTGGCATTTTTAAAAGTCTTAATAAAAATAGTCAAATGCTAAAGTTTGGGATGAGAATGACTAATGCTTTTGTTTTAAATAAATCAATTATAAATTGAATTTGCCTCCATTTTATTATAAATATGTGAATAATGATAAAGCTAACCATTGATATTATTCTATTTTTATTAAAACATTTTTTCTAACATTTATGACGATAAGGAATATATAGTCCTTTTATTTTATTGTCGAAATAAGTTGTTAATTAATGCTATCGTTTTCTTTGCAAAAAAAAATTGTATACTATTTTACAAGAAAGACGTTAATTCGAACCTACAGGTATAAGAGACCATAAATACCCTGAGAGAACATCCCCAATCTCTTGATAATTAGGTCCACTCCCTGAGTAGAAATACTCACGCATTTCTGTATTGGTTGGTGATATAAATAATAACTACGGTTTCTCAGAAAATCATACATAATTAATAAAATATTAAAATTTTCCTTTATTTCAAACCTTAACTTTATGGACTAATATCACTCTTGACAACTTTAAGGAGTCCTTCATATTCAATAAAGCACTTATTAGAAATAACAGTTCATTAAATAATTGAAGAAGTAGATAATAATTTATTTTTTTTAACATAAATTAACATCTTATAAAACATGAATTATGATTAAAAAATATAATATATTGAGTTTATACACAATTTTAAAAACAAGACATGTCAAAAAATATTTTCATCCACCCCTTCCGCTCTGGGAATTTTTCGATCCGAGCCAAATTTTTTTTTTTACTACGTGACTAAAGTGAGAAAGAAAGTTTGTTTAGACATTTGTAAGCTGTATTATTAAATTATTTTTGAATACATTTATTTTGGTTATTTTTTTAATATAAATTATTTTGTAATCAATAACTAATATTCAAACATTAGATTTATATATATATATATATATGTATACAATTACGGTAGGTTTTAAACTCTGCTTTCTAACACTTAATTACATTCTAAAATAAATTATCGTTATTAGAAATTCATTTACGATAGTATCTATAATAATAGTTGTAATTTTAAGCCTTTCTTTATATTAAATAGTATATATCAGAAATTACTACATGAATGGGAATGCTAATTAAAATCTATAACACTTTTTTTAAAAAAAATATTCTTTATATCTGTATAAATATTTACAAATATTGGACCCAGCGTCTTCATGAGCGGGAGGGGTAGGATAAATTTTTGGAGGTATTATCTATTGAATTTTGAGAAGAAATAGGACAAAATTTATTGCTGTAAAAATTAATACTTTTATTATAGAACTTTTATAATACAAATCATCGATTAAATCTATATATTGCAAACAATTATACACATTGTTTTACAAATAAAACTTTCTGCTATCCTTTTAAATTACATTTAAAAGGTTTAGTTATTTCAGCAAGCTCATAAATTTATAATAATAAATTCATTGTAAATAATGGAGGATTTAATTGAATTTATTATCTAAAAAAAAATCCTTTAGAAAATTTTTAGAGGGGTAGGAAAAGGTTTTTGAAGGGGGTTTGCATCCAGTGAAAATCCTGTCATGTAGACGCTGATTGGACCTAACAATCCCTTCGGAAAAACCTCACAAACTAGATATTCGTAGTTGATGCAGAACCCAAAATTTTATTAGTAATTGTTAATAAATCACAATTTTAGAAAAATTAGCTTACAAGTATAACCCTTTTAATCCTGAATAAAAATGAGATAATGTTAATCCCCGAAGAATTGATATATAATTGCTAATCAAGAAATATTAAAATATATTTATAAATCACAATTTTAGAAAATTTAGCCATAATTAATACCCTTGTAATTCCCGAATAAAAATGTTATAGTATTGATCCTTAAGAATTATATGTAATTTCGAAGCAAGAAATATTAGAATATATTAAGAAATCACAATTTTCTAAAAAAAAATCACCCATAATAAAGACCCTTTAAAAAGATTTGAATTTAAAAATTTCTTCATTTTCAATGAATTTCTTTATTTTTTCCTTTGAAAATAATTAAGTAGATTAATTATATGATATGTATACTTTATATAAAATTAATAGAAATAAGTAAATAAGGTCACGTTAGACAATGCGCGACGCGATTTCAATCTATCATTGTTATACAGATTTGCCGACTCTTGGACATGTGCTCAAGTGAATTTTTTTATTTTACTACCTAGCTCCCCTACGAAAGCCAAAATACAATTATATCTAAAAAATATTTCAGTTACAAATCGATGCTGAATAGGTTGAATGAATATAGAAACGCAATTATAAGAAAATTAGGATATATATAGAGTTGCTAAGGAGCCCCGCTACATACCCTTTTCAAAAACAGCACCCCGCAGGGAGCGGGATCGGGAATCAGCTCCTTTTTAGGGCTGGAGTGGTAGAGCGCCACTCCAGCTCTCTTTTGAATTTAATGTATAAATTAAATTTATTTTTTAAATATTGATAAATCCTTTTTATTTAATTTATTAAAATTCAACTAAAATGAATCGATATAATACATACATATTTAAAATATAATCTCCGAAAATTATTAAAATAAAATTTAAAAAAAAAACCGATAGAATAATTAAAATTATTAACAAGGGATCATTGAGGTTATCCCATAGAGGAATATCGGAATAAAATGTACACTGCTGCAAATTTTTTTGAACTGACACTTTGTCAAAGAAAAAAAGATCTTGGAAATCTCTGGAAATTTATGAGTTATTATTTTACTGAAGTTTTTATTAATTAAAAAGCTCTATTTCCGTTAGATTTTCAAGGAGTTGATAATCATAGGCAATAGAAATTATATTAAGCCCACGATATTATGGTCAACACTATCTTGCCCTTTGAAAAAAAAACTCTTGATAAAAAAATTGAAAATAATGGACGAAACGGACAATATAGAACAGTCTTTTTTTTTAACTATTGAAAGTTTGTTCAATAGGCTTTGGAGATGATAAAAAGCGATTATGTAATTTCTTATCCATTATTCAAAGAATGCTCGTGAACAGCCACATCTCTTATAAAAAATTTTTTTTTATTATATAGCCAGTTAATAAGATAGGCTTGATTCTAAATCAAAATTTTACTTATCATACAATACAATGCTAACTCTCATTGAATTATATGTGAAATATTTAAAGAATTCTTAAATTATTCTTCTAATTCTGATGCAGCGTCTTACATTGGGCGTGAAGAGGTGTTTTTGCAAGCATAGCTGGAGAACCATGAACATGTAACTAGACCCATATTCTCCTCTAGTCCATATAAAATTTTAATAGTTTTAATATTAATTTTTTGTTTTAATGGAAATTTGTATACAGCTGGAAATTAAATTTATCGTCAAAATAAAGATTAATTGCGCTTCAATTAACGCTTCTCAATTTTTTTAATTTAAATAAAATTACCCTTTTCAGCAGCGATCTTCTCTCTAATTAAAAAAAATATATATTATATTATAATGGCCCGGTTTGTTAGATTAATTCGTTTATATATAACTAATATAAATTTTTTGTTTTCTAAAGGAAAATTCTGAATTTAATATTTATTAAAACAAAAAACATGATTATATTATTATTAATAATACTTGAGGATTTCAACTAATAAATTGTAATTTAATATTAATTTATTATATAAGCAAGTTAACAGGTCATTTTGGCATAAATATTTTAGCTTCACAAGATCAGAAGAAATTGGATAAAACTTGTATGA